TCACCACAGCTCATATAATTTCACCGAAGGGCCACATATAATTGCACCGGAGTACCGCGTAGAATTGCACCGTAGTGCCATATAATAATTGCACCGGAGTGCCGCGTAGAATTGCACCGTAGTGCCATATAATAATGTCCATAAGGACCACATATAATTCCTTAAGAATCATATACATATGCCAAGGATCAAGTATGTGTCTCACCAGACTTCACACATGTTCTAAAGAATACATATATGTCCCGAAGGACCACATATCATTCCTTAAGAATCATATACATATGCCAAGGATCAAGTATGTGTCTCACCAGACTTCACACATGTTCCAAAGAATACATATATGTCCCGAAGGACCACATATCATTCCTTAAGAATCATATACATATGCCAAGGATCAAGTATGTGTCTCACCAGACTTCACACATGTTCCAACGAATACATATATGTCCCGAAGGACCACATAGACCCTCGACTCTTGGCATGCCAACTATACCCCTAGCTCTCATGACACATAACATAGGCATTATCTTTTATATCCTTTTACATATTCATGTAACCATATCATATATTCATATAAGCTCATGGTTTCATTCACATATACATGTAATCACGTAGTTTCTTTCATGTAATTCATGTCACTTTTCATATGAATTCATATTCATATGTCACATAGGATTCACCCTCATGTATCACATATACTTTCTTTTTCATATGGCTCATAACATTTCTCATGTGTTCATATGACATGTAACTCATTGTCATCTTATCATGTTATCACATAAACATATCATCTTACAATACATACAAAACACATCAATACCTATATTCACATATACCTATCATTTCATTATCCTTATTATTATTCTTATCATCACCATTAATCCCTTTTACTTACCATATTCATATCAATAACACATATACTCATGCACACATATAAATCATAACAAATACATACTTCTATGAATTCATGTTTTTCACTATTGGAAATAGACTTATCACAAGTCTTATTTTCCCTTGAACCTCATATACTAGAGAATGTGCACTCACCTTAGCTTTGCTTTGATTCGATTATAATCCTTCAATTGATCCGGAACGGGATCACGTTCTATATCTACATCATCATACATAGATCTATATTAGTTTTATAACTAATATACTCTAATGGTTCACTCTTTAGACTAAGAGAAAAGGCAATTTCATCTTTTAATGAAGGTATGCATCGATGCACTACTGATGCATCGATGCATAAAATGCATTCGATGTTTGTTTATTACTGGGATGCATCAATGCACTACTTATGCATCGATGCACGAATTACATTCGATGTATTTATTTTAAAAGAATGCATCTATACACCTTCAAACAATTTCTGGGTTTTAACATTGATGCATCGGTGCACTATGAATATGCATCGATGCACTCTGCCCAGAACCTCTTTTTAAACCCGAAAATTCCTTCTTTTTGGATTAAATCCTTCATATTTCAACCCCTTTCATATTCCTAACTTTCATATACATACTTAAACTCATGAATATTCATTTATCTCATCTTTAACCTCTAAATTCCATCTTTCATATGGAAATTCAAGAATCATACTCAATTTCTAACATGTTCCAAATTCCATTCAATTACTTCTAACTTCTTAATTAGACCCTTGACAAGTCAAATCCAACTTTATAACTTTAAAAACCTTTCTATAACAAAAGTTCATTTATAAACCCTTAATAAAAATTCCTTTCTAATTCTCTCTCTTTGGTGTTTTATACTTATATAAGCTTTCCTTAAGCTTATATAACCCTCAAAGACTCAAATCCAACTTAAAACTTTCAAGAAATCAAAAGCTAAATCAAACTTACCTTTGCTCTTGGCTTTCACGTAAATAAGAAGAAGAAAGGAGAAGAGCACTCTGGAGAATTCTCTCCCTTTCCAAGTGTATTTATCCTTATCAATCCCATTTTAATTCATTTCTTGGTCAATTGACCTTTTTGCCCTTTATTTCCTTTAATAATTACTAAATAACCTTCATCATATATATCCAATAATCATTGAACTATTTCATTCTTCTACTTTAGTCATCAAATTCTGAAACTTTATAATTTGGTCACTAACCCATAATTTGGGATGGTACACGTTTCCATGTCATCGACACGTCAACCTCTAACTAGATGTTATGTCGAGTGTGTCATGTCCCAAGTCGTGCCCACAAATCTGGCCATGAATCCAAAAAAATAAAAAAAATTGCTCGATTTTGTTGTTAATAGCATAATTTCTAGAATTCAATGTCATGCATCGAAAATAAATGAAAAGATCCAAGTTACCAACTAAAATTATCTAATCAAGGAGTAATTAATCATAAAATAATGTATAATTTAAACACTAATCAAATATTTAGCCAATTTAACTAATTATAAACTAAATTAAAAAAGAAAGTAAAAGATAAGTGACTCATAAACAACATCAATTTAACAATTTGAATGTGAGTACTATAAGTAGTTTGGTTAGGTTAATGACTGTTTGTGGATATTAATTTGGTTTGATTAATGTTGGTCTGTAGGTATTAATTAAACTCTATTTTATTATTATTATTTTATAAATATTTCCCATTAACATTAATTAACTTTAAAGTTTAATTAACATTATAGACGTTAATGTTATATTAGATATTTATTAAGCTAGAAGATATCAATAAAAATTAATTAAACTATTTATATTATGTATCTAATTTTTTATTATTAAGTTAAGGTGATTACAAAGTAATATAAGTTCTAAATACTCTCAGTCATTTGACAATGAATGCTCAATCATTTTGTTGTAGTCGTTAGTGCTCGAACCCATGAGCTATAAGAAGAACAACAATTCCTTTAACCACTGAGAATTCTAATTGAATTAAAAAATATATTATGAAATACATTTTATAATTATTGATATTTTTTAGATATTCACTATTTTAATTTTTTATAAAATTAATTTTTTTTACTCACTAAATTTATAAGAAAAAGAATTCTTATATAGAGCTAGTATTTTTAACAGGTTTAAAAAGTACAAAAGAAAAATCGTAAATCAAGATTCAATTTGGTACTTAAGTTTTTTTTTTTGGGTCTACTTAGATACTTGAACATAGCTTTAAGATTCAGTTTTGCACGTTTAATTTGATATATAAACTTAGCCTTTTTTATGTTTTTTAAATAGTTACCTGAGCTTGACTTATTTGTTCAATTTGATTAAGAATTTTAAGTACTTATTTGAACAAAAAAACCAAATTTGGATGCCTAATTGAACATAAAAATATGTACCAAATTTAAGTACTTAATTGCAAAAATCAAATAAAAAATTAAACTTTAAAATTAAATTGAAATACTAAAAATATATATTTACTTAGTATTTCAGACATCAAGCAAGGGACTTATGCTATAATTCACCGATTCTTTTTATTGTTTAAAAATATTTACTTGTAGTAAGAAAAAAAAGTAAATAAAAATATTATATCTTTCACCATGTATCTTTGAAAAGTTGTAATTTTTTTAACTCTATCTATCTATATATATATATATATAGAGAGAGAGAGAGAGAGAGAGAGATTTAGTACACACAAGAAAATAAATTCATAATGAAAATAAATTCACCATAAACTAAAAAGCCTGCTGCTTGCCCCGTTTGGGTAGCTGGGAGAGAACAAACTATTAATTGGTTAATAATTTTTATCCTCCCTTTATATTTGGGGTAAAGAAAATGAAAGAAGGAACAAAATAGGCAGAGGTCTATTGTTTCTGCCCTTAAATTTGCTAACACATCTTTATAAATCCCTTGCTTTCTCACCTAACTTTACCCATTACTTGTTCTAGTTGTGGACATTGACAGGCTCAAGATTTATATTAAGTGTGAATTCATAAAGTTATATAAGAAATTTAAGGGGTACGAAAGTAGATCATCAATAAAAAATACATATTCTTTGATTAAATGGGTTTGTATATCCTTGTATTCATTATTTTTTGACTCGGTTTATCCCGAGATTATCTCTTCGGAGGTAGCAAACGATGTACGGTTTATTTGATTTATGTAGTTTGATACTCTTTTCCCCTCATAGGCTTAACACCTTGTGTTGATTAAGAGGGGCTTTTAATGAGGCTTGTTTTCCTTAAAAAAATAAAAATAAAAATACATAAAATAAAAATTTAAACTATACATGAATTTGATATTTTCAAAGGTGCAACTGCAACCCCAACATCACCTCGATCCTTCTTTGATCGTGAGTTATGAACTTATGATGAGTAGAGATCTGAAAGTTTTATGGACTAAATTAAAAAAATCGTTGTTAAGATGTCAACCGGGTCAAAAAAGAAATTTCTAATACTAATTAGGTATAAACTATCAAATTTAGGGTTCAAAAATTAAATTAACCTTTTTTGTGTAGAAAACTAGAAACTCATTTATTACAACTCGGTCCAATTGAAGAGCATTATTGCATCAGACGGCGCCCATTTATTACAAGTGGTATCTTACAAGCCCCTAATAATCTGTGTGTTTTTGTAAGTAGATTTATCCGTAAATCAGATGATCAGTCCATTTGATTCAACCAAGATATGAGCAAATATTTTCAGTCATGAGTCCGTCAGACTTGATCGTATTTGATAAATTATTCGTGAATCATTTGTTTATGTTTATTTATTAAATTGAAAAGACGAATATGATATAAAATATAACACGAATACAAATAGGTTCCTCACACTTGTATGAATCAGTATAACTGTTAAATGCATTTCTCTCTCTAAACTTTTACTGCAATAACAAATTGCAATGAAGAATTTGATTCTTCCCCAAGCCATTTTCAATGGAGGTATAGCTTATATAACTATGAGATGTAAAATAAAGATATTCCAATGAATATAAAACAAATGATGAGCCTGGAACAATTTTAGCTGTTTGATTCCTATTCTGGGTTTTTGCAGTATATCTTTTTTGTTATAGCATTTGATGTAAATGAACTATTTGTGGAACGAACATAGGCAAACTTAATTTTTACTTGACCAAATTTAGAAGCATCAAGAGTACAATTAAAATGCAGAGCAGCTTATAGAGAGAGAGATGAGGGGATGGTTACATAGTAATTTTTTTATGGTTTGCTGGTCTGCTAGGAATTTAATCAAGCACTTGGAAGGCAACAATATTTATGTTCCTTGAGTGGCGAATTGGGTCTTTGAAGCTGGAATAGTAACAATTTTGGCAACTCCGTTGATCCCATCATCAACAGTGATGGGCAATTCCTGCAGGGCATTGCCCTTTTCATCTGTTTTTGAGTATTTCACATCTTTTCTTTTTCCCCACACCACTGTGTAAAGGCCTGTGACTATGATAATGGCTCCAAGAATGCTGAAATTATTAGAAAAAAAATGAGAAAAACAATGGAGAATCCACTAACAAATAGGGTTTCATAATTCTGTCAGTATCAGCAAAAATTTATATAATGTTTTAATTAGTAAACTTTGTTATTGTGATCCCAGGATTAATGGAATATATGCTTTTGGTGTCAAGTGGATTGCACTTTGCAAACATACCTTCCAAGGTGGATTTTTTCTGCTAAAATAATGGCCCCTAATACAGCAGTGATGATCATACATAGAGGGCTGAAAGATGTTACGAAAACCGGCCCTCGTTGCCTGATCATGACTCCTTGCACGTAATACGCGATGCCGGAGCATACTATTCCCTGATCAATCACATAAATGTTAATAGTGTTGACTGTTGAGATACTTGTGTTTCACGTGCAGGATCATAGGCACTTACTGAGTATGTTGCAGCAAGAAGCCTCGAGTCCCAACCGATTTTCCACGCGCTTAGGTCGCGAACCATGACAAGCGACAAGCCTGCACCTTCAACCATCCCCATGAAACATATCATTGCTGTAAGAGAGAGCTCTGCAGGGTACTGCTTCAATGTGAAAGACTGACCAGAAACCATAACCAAATGTTAGCTCAAGCTTAACTATTTTCGATCAATTTTCGTGTTTTTTGCATCGGATTTGGACTCACTTGCAAAATAAAATAGCTAGACCAGCTGCAGATGCTTCCAAGAAGCAGAATTGTGCCAGTAACCCAATGTTTATCGGTGGATTCGGCCGTGGTTCCATGGTCGGTGGCTCCCCCTGACTTGATGAAGTCAATAATGGGACCTTTGTATAAAGTCATCACCATTGCGCCTACGACTGTGATTGCTGTTCCAATGATCTTAGCTACACTTCTTATCTTCTTCACATTCACCTTCTCTAACCTGAATTCGGCATCGCTATCGTATATTAAAGATGGGTAAATTCATTCGATCTTTGTGAGGAATGACATGGTTTTTACTCACCTGAAAATCATTGCCAATATGAAGGTAATAGCAGGAAGCATGTTGACAAAAGCTGACGAATATGTTGCTGTCGTCAACTTCATTCCCAGATAATATAAGTTTTGGTCAAGCACTGGCCTGTAACATCCAATCAGTAATATTTAACATTCAGAATATATATATATTTATGTATGTATATGTGTGTTTGTGTGCGCGATGTGCGCGCGCGCGCAATTATGAATTTATTTGCATAAAGGTGCACATGGAAGTGTTTAGAGCATTACTCAAGGAAACCAAGAGCTACGATCCTGAGGAAGATAGGGAGGGTCATCTTTGGCCTTATTTTCCTGCAAAGAAGAATGCAAAAGGGAGTTTAAATCTGTACCGCAAGGTAACATTGCTATCGTTATTTTGCAGTCTCAATTTCCATTGCCGCGGTAACAGATCGAGACTGCAACTTAAATCCTTAAAGGAAAGGAAGGGGGAGGAAAAAAGAGGAACCTTTCGAGAACAAAGGCAAAGGGTGCAATGACAATGGTGGCGACGACATGTCGGTAGGTGGCGAGGATGAAATTGCTCATGCCATGCTTCAAACAAACCATGGAGACTATGTACATCCCTGCATATCCAAACTGCAGGGAGACCATTGCAAGGTATGGTTTCACTTTGTTTAACACATTGCACAAAGCTCCCATTGTTTGTCTCTACTATTTTTCTCTTCTCTACCTTCCTCTTAGGCTTGCCAACTTCACGAATGAGAAATGGCCCTTCTTATAGGCAAGAAAATGCTTGAGGTTAATTGAAGTTTAAAGTAGGAATTTTAATATCTGTAATCCTTTTTCAATTTTTTGAATTGTATTAAAACAAGGCACTAACTAACCCTCACTTAACATAGATTCCCTTATCCATTGAGCAAAATCTCAGCACTATTGCCAGAATACTTTTTCACTTTGATGATTGAATCATTTATATAAAGATCAAGGAAACATGTTTATGTGGATCTCTATGAATATGATGCTTTTGGGTTGATTGTTATTAGTTTGGTGAGAAGTGGGGATTTGATTCATTGACCACCCAATCAGGTTTTAGGTTAAGTGCGTGTGATGCATGCAAAAGTTATTTGGATTTTTGTGTTTTGATTGTTGGGTGCTATGGCAAATTTGGCCACCATTTTAAAATCATCTATTTTTTCTTTTATAAAAATACTTTTATGTTATTAATTTTATTTTTTAACAATTTATAATAATTACTTTATAGCTTCAAATATTTTTTTAATATTAAAAAATAAAAAAGTATAAAATCTAAAATATTAATAAAATTGAAAATAGTTTTTTTTTCAATTCTAAATTATTAAAAATGTAAAAGAATTTATTGATTTTTTAAATCTAAAAATACTAAAACATATTAAAACACAATTTGTTGGTAGTGCGAGTCTGAGACAAAAAAAGAATGCCATGTTGCGCATAAATCCTAAATAAAATGATAACAATGGAAAATCATCAGTCTCCATATATAGCAAATCAAATAGAATGGACCCAAAAACAAATAAAAATGAAGTTTATTAAAACTACCTAAATCCCAATTATTAAAGCTTTTTCTATAAACAAATCATCCATTACATAAAGAAAAACAAAATTAGGTGATTAATAATTCATCAATTGCCAAGCCACTAGTTAAGCTTTTTTTATGAACATCAAACAACTACAACAATAAAGATAAAAAAATGAATATTATCTATTTTATTTTTAAAATAATAAAATAAATTTTTTATATTAATATTTTATATTATTTTAAATTATTTAATTTATAGTTATATCATGTCAGATTGACTTGCTACCTAATTTTTCTTTTGTCCAAATCTGATTCAAGTCACTCCATTATGGAAAAATATAATAATAAATAATTTATAATTGAAGATTTAAGACTTTTTGAGTATAATGTATAAATAGTATCATTAGTGAACAAGTACTTTTATTGTGTTGTAATAACGGATTTTGGGCTGAAATTCCAAGTTTAATATAAAAGATAGAATGAAATAAAGAGGATGGATTGATAAATCTCTTAAATAAAATTAAAGATTTAAATATTGATATGATTAATAGAGAAAATTGGGTTAAAAACTTTGTCTCAATCGTAATCAGGGACGAACACATAATTTTATGCTAAAGGCAAACTTTTAAAGTTTTAAGAGTGAGCGAACTTGGTTAAACAAAATAGTTTAAACCTGAATAAGTGTCGGATTATCTCTTAGCATGATTCATATTCAACCTTGGTTAAACAGATAATAATAATCTTGGTTAAACAAAAATGACCTCAAGGGTAGTTTATCCTATATATTATGAGCTCTAGTCCTACATGCAGTATTGTTCATCTGACGAGACAAATTATTTAATGGACGAAACTCTACCAAGAGAAGATGCATTCCTTCCCATTGACATTTAACTTTATATATGATAATGGAACCATTTTTTGTGTATATATAATATAATATAATAAATTTGGATCGAAGTTTTGACGTCTGGTGATTTTATGTTGGTGCATGCACACAGTATTCTCATGTTGCAGTTAGGGTAAATAGATGTTGACATAAGATGCGGAAAACATGAACACATATTTGGAATCTTAGCAATGTAGGGTTGGCCAATGTCCCAACCGGATACTCATCTTGAAATCCTTTGCATTTCTCCCCATGTGAGTTTTGCCCCCGTTAATTATTTTTTAAGTATTAATTAATATTAAAAATATATATATAAAAAATAAATAAAAAAATTTATCAAGTTTTTCTCAATTAAAAAAATTATATTAACAAAAAATAAAAAAATACTTTAACTACTGCTATAATAAATTCTCAGTTCCATCCCTAGAACGAGTTAGGATCAATCACTGATAGAGCTTAAATTATTTTACATAAAAAATGATAATTCATTGAGTATTTAAATTTAAAATTTGAGATAAACAAAATTTTTATTGGATTTATTTTTAAACTAAAAAAAGACCTAAAGTGTTATTATAGTAAAAGTTTTGTGAGCCACCCCCTTAGAAACTCCGTCGCTCCTTATCATTCTTTATTATTTTTTACAAGAGAAGGGGAGGGTTGCTTATGATCAAGTCCCAAATTTAATGTTTGTGTAAATACATGTTTTCGATAGATACAACACGTGAGAAAGATTGTCTGAAAGATATGTCACGTTGACAAAAATACGTCTTACAAGATGCATATTTTGAAAGATACTTCTCACGTAACATGTCTTTGCTAAAAGAATATTATTTTAATTGAGTACTATTTTAATAAATAATATTATTTTGATTATTAATCCCATTTCGATATCTATGCATTTTATTTTGACTTTGTTGTGTATGAAACATTCAACTCATTATTTATTTTTCGAAAAAAAACTTATTACTATTACTTCTTTTGGTATACTTACTATTGTATATAAAGCCAACCTATAAATAAGCTATATTAATTAATTGATTCATTAATATTACTTAAAGTATCATATCTATTAAAAATTCCCTTTCTTTTTAGTAAAGAGTGCAGCTTTTTTTTTCATTGGAATTGAAAGATAAGACATGACGAAATTATGGGCCATTTGTTGAAAAGATTCAACAAATGGTTTACTCCAAATTTCTGTTACTAAAATTAATTAATTTATCGACAGTGAGAATGAAAGGTTTAATATACAAATTACTCCTCAAATTGATGAATAGTGTTGACGTGTCATTCCCAAAATTCTAAGTGATTGAATAGTAATCTCCCAATTATTCCGAAGTTTAGGAAGAATTCTGAGCTTCAAATTTCAACGTTTATGCATCAAGTTTCACAAATGCCTTCACTAAATTTGACTTTGGCAATATAAAGTTTATTGGTGTCGTTTTGCACGTCAAAATAAATTTCTTCTTCTCGAATAAAATAAAGGAAATTAAATATAGTATAGGAGAAGCAAGGGTCGATCCCACAAAGACTAAGAAAGCCGATGAAATTCTTGACTTTTGATTTTGACCTTTAGCATGAATTTAAGTAAAATAAATAAAATGCGGGGTTTTGTAGTTAAAGAATAAAAACAAGGGAAAAAATAAGATTTAAAGGGAAAAAAAGAAAGGTAGATAAAGGAAGATGAAAACTCAATTGATTAAATTAGCCTTAGGCATTCGCTTTGACTCACATTCTTTGGATCATCGAAATAGATTTACCCTTCAGGATTCATGTCGGTTACTTTATCTACAAGGACTGATCCTTGTGACTAACTTGTACACCGAATACCCAAGTGCAACTCTTAGATCTCGGATTTGGAAATTGATCTAATCAACATTAATTATTGTAGATCAAGAACCGCTTAAGCACATTAAAACCGACTCAGATAGTTGTTTCCATACAAACAGTTTACGATCTCAATTCTCACTTTAGCAACAATTTGCTAGTTGTGTTCCCTGTAAGTTCATTTGCTATCAATTAGTCGATCCTTCCTCACACATGTTTAATCGCAACAACATTCCGACCATCAACTATCTTTGGTTTTGAAAAATTGTTTTGATTCGTCGCATAATTCATTGGGAAAATTAATTCCCACGAATTCATGAATTTCATGTTTAATAACATCGATGAAATTTAGATCGGTGACACTGTGATGAGGTTGCATCGCTTTGTAAACGTCAAATTCTACTACTTCGCCATCAAATTCCATGGTCAATATACCGCTTCTCACATCGATCTTCATGTTTACAGTGCTAAGGAAGGGTTGACCTAATAGAACTTCAGAACAAGCATTCGTCACCATTTTCCATGTCGATTGTATAAAAATCAGCAGGAAAGATAAGAACGTCAACTTTCACCAATACGTTTTCGAGCACTCCCACTGGGTGAATGACTGAGCGATCCACCAATTGTATAGTCACTTGTGTTTCCTTCAAAGGCTCGTTAGTAATAATCTTATAAACATAAAGTGATTTTACGTTAATCTAAGCTCCTAAATCACACATTGCATGCTTAATTGAAAAATTACCTATTTTACAAGGTATGGCGAACATACCCTTGTTCTTCATTTTTGGTGGCAGTTTTCAGGTCAAACCCGCTAAATATGTTCTCCCAAATTTACCTATTCGTGGCTATGTAATTTTCTCTTTGTGGTACAAAGTTCCTTCAAAAATTGAGCCTACCTCGAGACTTGTCGGATTATATCAATGAGAGGAATATTAACTTGCACTTTTTGAAAAATTTATATACTTCATTCTCGTCAGCTCTCTTGTCAAACCTCAATAGTCTTGAGGGGAAGTGTCGTGCTGTTTCGCGTAAAGAAAGAAAAAAATGAGGGTTGGTTTTATGAGAAGTAGAGAAAGATGAAGGCAAAGAAATTGTACTTTGATAGTTGGATTATGATGTGGCTCTCTTTTCTTTGGAATGTGTGACATCTTCTTCTTTTAGGACTTCAGGATTAATAACGGTTCCACTTCAGAAAGTAATAACACTAACATTATTTCACGAATTTGACTCCGTTTGACAAGGTAGTCTTCCCTGTGATTCAAGTCTTCCCATATTTTGGGCTAATTGGCTCACTTGTTTATCTAGCTCTTGCAGATGAACTCCAGTTCTCCCTTGGAATTTTTTTATGGGAAACGATGAATTCTTCTTGGGAAATTACCAACTTCTCCACCATCGCCTTCAATGATGTCTTTTGTATTTATGGTTGTGGAGATGGTCTCGGTTGATAATTCGGCTTCGAATTTTGTGCGTAACTAAAGTTCAGATGATCTCGACATCCCGTATTATAAGTACTTCCATACGGATTGTATGGTCTTTGAGGAGGTCCTGGAAAGCTCCATGTGGCATTGAC